TTGACTCTAAATAAAATTTTTTTTGTATCAGATAGATACCTACATATCAGGTCTCATTTTTTAATAGAACACATCCAGATTTTACGCCCCCTAAAAATAAATCATTCTAGAAACTTTTGTTTCAGAATGAGTTACTCTTAATCAGTCTTCACAACAGAATCATCTAGTTTCATAAAGAAACAAAACCCTGCATTTTGTTAATGGTAAAAYATCGGATTTTTCTGTGGTGAAAATGGAATGGTGATAATGGATGTCACCAATTAGTCTGACTTCAAATCCAGGTTAATTCTCTCACATCAGTAGTCAAGTCCTTTTGGGTCTAATTCAAATACTGGTTGGTTATGTATCTTTTTTTTTAATTCATTGATTCTTTTCAGTTACACGACAGCAGAATCCATTTTGATATAATTATACAAACATTTCTCTGTTGTCACTGTCTCATTTTGCAGCTGAATGTCTCAAGGATGACAGCCTATTGCCTGGTGTCTTCCATTCTAACTCATGTTTTGAAAAGAAATCTCTTTACCTATAARACTGAATATCAATGTTTTTGAAAAATACCAATTCTTTAACTTGGTATCCAAGACTCTACAATCTGATCCTGGTCTATCCTCCCAGATTGTCTCCAGCCACTGCACTCTGAGCCTCACATAGCATTCCCACCACCACTTTGGGGGAAGCACTAACAAACCCTGTTCCTCCACTATGACTCCTCCACCTCTGTTTCAGAGGCCATTTCTGCGCTTATCGGTTTTCTACTCCTCTTTTAAGAAACAGTTCATAGAGAACTTCACTTTCTGAACAACTTAGACTGCATCCCCCATATATCCACACTCGGGCCAGAGTCTGGACAAGACCTGCTGTTAACCATGACCTTAGACAATTAGTTCACACCTCTTGAGCCTAAGTTTTAATATGAATGYCATCTATCATAAAAGTATGAAATGTAGATTGAGATCACTTATGTACTTGGAAAATCTAGCACTATGCCCAGTACACAGGAGGAGATCAATAAATATCAATTCTTGTTAACACCCCAATTCTCTTTTCCCTCTAARCATACAGTTTTGAAATACTATGTTAGGTACCTCTGTTTGAACAGAATGAGTTTGCTTTGAAAACAAAACTTGTTTATAGTTTAAGACAAAATAATTTCAGAGTTCAAGATATTACACTCCTGTCTAGAATTAGTTTTAAGTCACTTTGTGAAAAGGCATATTTAAGGTGCCTTTTTCTCATAGAGGATAAGAAACAAATGCATTTGATGAATGAAAGGAATGGGATGAAGATGTATGAAGAAAATGATTTATCCACATTCAGTCCAACATTTATAGGGCACATTTTGTCAGGTACACACTTAGTATCAGATCCAGAGAACATAAGAAAGAACAAAGAACTTTCCACAAGTTACCATAACATCTAATTCAAATGCC